TGTTATATTTACTTATGCTTTTAAATAAAAGAGACACAACATATAACAATAAGACTCCAAACAGATGTTTTTACAAGTTATTTGTCCTTGCCTTCTAGTAATTGCTACACTGGCTTCCCACTGTCTATAGGATAAAGACTACACAGAGGGGCATAGAAGACGCTTCCCATCGTGGCCCCTGACTACATTTCCCTCTTTCCTCCGCATCCCCTCAATCCAACATTACTATCAGACCCAATGACTTCCAATTGTCCGAACGTGCCATGCTATTTCATACCTGCCTGCCTTCATGTACAGTTCTCTCTACCTGGGAAGCCCTCTCCCTCCTAAGAAATTCTTTCTCACTCTCCAAGAGCTAACTTGAACGTCACCTCTTCAGTGAAGCCTTTGCAAACCCCCAATGCAGTGGTCCTAAAGCTTTAGTGTGCACCAGAATGCCCTGGAGAGCTTTGTAAAACCCAGACTGCTGGCCTCCATCCTTGGAGTCTGTTTCAGGACATCCAGTAGAACCTGAGAATCTACATTTTCAACCGGGTCCCAAGTGATGCTAATGCCACACTTGGAACACCACTGCCCTAAGGCATAGAAAGTACCCTGTGCCCTTGAGTCCTGAACTCCGTCACAGTTCTGTACACAGCCCATTGCACACTCCACTCAAGACTGTGAGCTCGCCGGGCGCGTGGCTCAAGCCTGTAATCCCAGCACTTTGGAGGCCGAGACGGGTGGATCACGAGGTCAGAAGATCGAGACCATCCTGGCTAACACGGTGAAACCCCTGTCTCTCATAAAATACAAAAAACTAGCCGGGTGAGGTGGCGGGCGCCTGTAGTCCCAGGTACTCGGGAGGCTGAGGCAGGAGAATGGCGTGAACCCGGGAGGCAGAGCTTGCAGTGAGCTGAGATTGCGCCACTGCACTCCAGCCTGGGTGACAGAGTGAGACTCCATCTCAAAAAAAAAAAAAAAAAAAGACTGTGAGCTCAAAGACAGGGCTGAGTCCTCTTTATGCCTGTCCTCCCTAGTCCAGCATATAGACAATATTCAATACGTGGTTATTACATGGATGGGTGGATGGATGGATGGATGGACGGATGGGATGGATGGGTGGATGGATGGGTGGATGGATGGATGACGTATGCACGGATGGATGGATGCATGGATGGATTAGACTGAATTATTTATACAGCTTTTCATCCAGGCCCAGGACTTCATAAATGTCTATCTCACCCAAAATTAACTTGAAAAACATCATCCGATAATCATTTCCCACTGTGCAGAGAAGGCAAAAGTTCAGAAGTTAACATCACGAGTCTATGTTAAGGGGTTTTGAATTCTAGTCCAGAGTTCTTTCTGCTACTCTACCCCGCTGGGGCTCCCTACCAAGGCTGCATGAAGGAGTCACAATGGTATGCTTCTGAGTGCATCTTTCAGAGTCCTATCCTCCCCGGCTGCACTCCTTTATTCATGTATGTGTACATCTGTGTGTAGGGTGTTGTGTGTGGTGTGTACATACGCATGTGCACACACACAGTCATTTATTTCATTTGCAAAAGTAGATGAAGTTGGTAAAACAAATGGAGGAGAAGAGGCATCCAGCCGCATGGAGGGAGAGGGTGGGATGCCAGCCCACATGCAGAGAACACCATCAGAAAAGCACTATTTCCCAAAGGGGAGTGCTTGAGCTCCAAGCCACCCTGGCTTCTGTAGTTGAGCAGAGAGGCAAGGCACACAGGAAAGGGGACGAATGTACAGGAAACACAAGAAATGTATACTCAGGAGAAAATGAGAGACTAAGGAGAAACAAAGCGCCGAGAGCATCAGCTTGGGGGCCAGGCGATCAGGAGCGGCAGTGGATTGCTGAGCTTGCAGCCCTGGGCAGCAAGGGCTGGGGCAGGGAAGGTCAGGGCAGCTCCAGCAGGCCACTCTGCTCTTTCAGCGCAGCAGCAGGCGCGGGATGAGCCATGGGCTCTGCTGAAGACACAGTTGGGGGGCGATAGAGCAAGCGACAGCAGGAGGACCAAAGTCAAAAGGTCCGCTACTGCTGCAGGTGGTGCGAGCCCAGCTGCCCTTGCCCTGCAAACCCCTGTGTCTGTAAGGCTGTTTTTCCATTACGCCTCTGCTCACATGCAGCTTGGGTCACCCTGCAGCTCTGCTAAAGGGGGAAAAAGTCAGCATTTCACTTCACTGGTGTCCAGACCTTCTCCTGGGGAGCCACAGATTAGCCTCTTGGATTAAGCTCTCCTACCTGCCCCTCCCCTCCAAAAGCCTCACCAAGGGAGGATCACCGAAGCTGAGACCTTAGGATGCTGCCGAGCTGTCACATCCAATTCAGCACACAGCCCCAGTGGCATTTAGGGCAGGATGGATGGAAGCCACCCTCTACCCCCAAACAGTGGCAGCAGCTAATGACTGGGTATTAATGATGCCGGCAATTAGTGCTCACAAGAAAATAGTCGGGGCTGCTCACCAGGGGAATGTGGGAGGGAGCAGAGCATACATTCGGGGCGGCAAGCAAGTCGGCGGCCCTGTGTGGTGCAGAGAAACCTGGATGAGCAGCTGCCTCATCGGTTTGTCCAGAGAAATTAGGGACGGGGGAAAGGACGGTTTCTGCAGGCACTAAAGGCCTTTCTGCTGTACCCTCCCCACTAGCAAAACTGGGTTAATCACTGAGTTTTCGAGGAGGCGCTGTGAGATGTCATTAAAAGGTATTTGTGAGGGTTCTGGAAACCTCTTCATGTGGGGAGGCCCCGGATCCGCCTGGGAACACCTATTATTTTCTAGGAGATTTTAACCCTTGGCCAGCCAAATGATCCTTTTTGAAGAACCCACTTTCTCATCAGCAGGGTGAGAAAGAGAAAAGGGTGAGGGGGAGTTGGAGTGCGTGCCGCGCACTGACAAGCCCACAGAGGTGAGAACAAGCCACCATGAGATTTCGCAGGCAGACATCTCCACACTAGGGCGAGGGAGACACGCACAGCTTCCTTCCCAAGCAAGGCTGTGTGGCCTCAAGGGGAGACACAAGAAGGCCAAACACCCCCGCCCACGAAGGAGCGTGAGGAGATCCACAGCCGAGTGCTGGTCTCAGAAGTCAGCCAACTCTGAGGGGATCACAGGGATCGCTGAGACTGACTCCTTCTACTTAGAGTCTGCAGCACACCTCCCCGTGCAGCCACAAACACCAGGCACGTGGACACATGCACACACACACACACATATGCACACGCACACACACACATGCACACGCACACACACGCATGCACACACGCAACACGCACAAATGCACGCACACATATGCACAAATGCGCACATCCACAAGCACACACGTGCACAAACAACACGTGCACACACACGCGCACACACAAGCAAACAGCACGCACACACGCACACAACACACACGCACACGTAAGCACACACACACACAACATGGACACACACGCACATATACGCACACATGCACGCGCACACACAACACACATGCATACGCACGCACGCACACACGTACACATGCCCACACGTGCACACGTACACACAAATGTGCACACACACAAGCACACATGTGCACAAACAACACGTGCACACACATGCACACACACAAGCAAACAGCACGCACACACGTAACACGCGCACACATGCGCACACACGTACACACCCACACACACGCACACACATGCATAGACACACACACACCGCACTCATAATGAGGCTACAGGAGAACCAAGGAAAATGAGACACAGACAAGAAGCATTCCAAACCCCAGGGCATGAATAAAGGAACAAAATGGCCTGACATTTGAGAAGAGATATAAGGAGATAAGCTAGCACAGGAGAGTGAGAAATAAGGCCACCAAGCAAATAAACACTTGAGAGAGCGCAACAATGTCGAAGAAACGCTTTTCAGGGAGCAACCAAAATCAAAGAAGATTCTTCTCAGCCTCCTCGTGGTAGGAGACAACAGTTCCGTGTGACCTCTTGGTCACTTAGACCAGGGAAAAGAGGAGAGACAGGGAAATGCAAGTATCGGCTGCCTCAGTACAGGTCAGTATCTTTTCCTTTTTGAAAGACAAGGGTGACTGGACCAAGGAAAACTCTTCCCAGAGAGAAGGTCTTAGTGTTGGAGCTCCTCAGTCCCTGGCAAGGAGAGGCGGGCAAGGCTCGGGGGGGCGCCTCCTGCTCTGCTGTTCAGGTTCTGTCCAGGTGACCACAGCAGATGAGAAAGCAAGGGTCTGTCGCACTAAAGGTTTGCACCTTGGAAGTGAGCAAAAATTCAAGAAGGTGCTGAAGGCTGAATTGCATCCCCTCCCCACTCCCAAATTCCTATGTTGAAAGCGTAACCCATGGTACCTCAGACTGTGACTTGGTTTGGAGATAGGGTCCTTAAAGAGGCATTTAAAGAGATAAAGTTAAAATGGGCTTGTTAGGATAGACCCTAATATCCAATCTGACGTGGGTCGGGCACGGCGGCTCACGCCTATAATCCCAACCCTTTGGGAGGCTGAGGCGGGTGGATCACGAGGTCAAGAGATTGAGACCATCCTGGCCAACATGGTGAAACCCTGTCTGTATTAAAAATACAAAAATTAGCTAGGGGTAATGGTGCGTGCCTATCGTCCCAACTACTCGAGAGGCTGAGGCAGGAGAATTGCTTGAACCTGGAAGGCAGAGGTTGCAGTGGGCCAAGATCACACCACTGCACTCCAGCCTGGTAACAGAGAAAGACTCCATCTCAAAAAAAAAAAAAAAAAAAAAGATGAGGAAACGTGGACATAAAAGCAGACGCCAGAGCACACATGCACAGAGGGACAACTGTGTGAGGGGACAGGAGAAGGCAGCATCTGCAAGCCAAGGAGAGGAAAACAACCCTGCCAGCACCGTGACCTTAGACCTCCAGCCTCCAGAACCGTGAGAAAATTAATTTCTGTGGTTTAAGTCACTCCGTCTCTGGGGTTTTCTTATAAGAACCCTAGCAAATCCATAAAGAAGGCAATGTTACAAGGGAAAGTGGGGTGGAGGTTAAGGGAGACCCCACACTAATCCGAAGAATGACCTTGGCCACAGGTGTGTTCATTATTTCAAATGTTTGGTGGAAGTGGCCAGTGGACGTCAGTTGACTAAGTCGATGGCTAACACGCATCCTCTAATCTTAGATTCTGAGTACTTTTAAAGGTCTGATCCCTTTCCTTGCATTGAGTTGTTCACTTTCAGAATCCCTACCACCAAATCTTCTGAACAAAATTAAATACACATGGCCTGTCCATGAATATTCTTCACTGAGAGAGCTCAGTGTGGCCCGTATCTTCGAGCAGGCTCTAAAGATTCCATTATCCCATTTCTATGTTGAGATTTCTGCAGGCCCAGAGACCACACGGGATATTGTAGAGGAAAGTCAAGTGGAAAATGCTAAGCCCTTTTGGATTCCCTAATTCATAATTGGAAGTTGAGGTAGGAAAGCACAGAAATGGAAACACAAATCTTCAGGATCACTTTGGGTCTGGAGAGCCCAACATCCCAAACAACAAATCCACCCAGATCACATTTGCCATTTGAATGCTGAAGCAAAGAACATGGGGTCTCCAGGCAGCGTTTCTAAGGTAGGAGAGCCCTGTACCAAAATGTGATCCCCTCCCCTCTACAACAAAACCACACCAATAGATAAGAATACTCTAAGGCTCTTAGTGGCCAAGCAGGCATTTCGAATGTCTGTCTGAACTGATACACCCATGACCTATGCCCAACCCAGTCTGAGTGGCTCTTGAGGAGCTGAGGGAAAAGAGTTGTAGGTCTGGCATCTGACAGTGGCCAGGTAAGGACTTTCTCTTCTGCTTAACACCTTCCTTCCTCTGGGAGCAGAGCAGGGTGTGTGAGCCCAGCCCTGCTATTGTTGGGCTGAGCTGCAGGGGCAGCTGACTGGCTGGCTGAAAGGGCCAATGCACTACAGCACATTGAGACCACTCAAAGTTTGCTACCAGAAGATGCCAGCGCAGCAGTGAGAAAAAGGAACAAGGAACGCTCCCCAGCCTGCCTAACCCACTTCTTCACTGCCCCAACCTAACAAGTAGGCACTCACGCCTGTGGTTCTCATTTCTGTGGTTGGGTGGGGACCGAGTCTCCTGGTCTTGAGCTTCATCCCCCTCCTCGCTGGCCAGGTGGGTGTGAGCATAGTGGTAGCTGAGCCCCGGTCGGTTCTTGTAGCGCTTGCCACAGACTAGAGAGGAAAAGAGGAAAAAAGGGAGAAAGGCAAATATTAGCAACCTGTGCAGCCACTGCTATCATTCTCCCAGACAGTGACCCCATCCATCCACCCCAGAGCCAGGCTTCCCTTAAAACTGTCTCCCATCCTAACACCCCTTTCCCCCACCCAACAGAACCAACACCCTTATAACAACTCAGCTCATGGAAAGAAAAACTGTAAAAGTAAAACGAGGTTAAGAGCTGCGTGAGCACTCCACTGTTTCTAGCTGTGAGACCCAGGGCAAGTCACTTGACCTCCCTGTGCCTCAGTTTCTTCAGAGATAAAATGGGAATACTAACAGTACTTACCTCACAGGGTTATTGTGATAAGTTTATCTCTATGCAAAGTACTTAAAACAGTGTCAGGCATGTTGTAAGGGTAATTGTTATAACGTTGAATTCAAAGGACACTGGGAATCTACCCAATCCAACATCCCATGACACAGATGAGGCAAGTGAGACCAGCAACGCCAAGTGACTTGCCCAGGAACACACAGCTAGTGTGGCAGAGCCACCAGAATCCATGTCTCCTGGGTTCCTGTGCACTGTCCCTTCCACCACCCCATGGTTGGCCTCTGCAAGAAATAGAAAAGTTTTATCTGGATAATACTTCTGATGTCTCACCCAGTGATTTTGTGCCAGAAACACATGCTCCACTTCCACCATGAACGCCATGGAGTTAAAGCATCCTTAGTGAGTGTAGTCACCAAGAGCTGGTGCTCCTGATGCCCTAGGCAGCCAAATCTGTAAAATGTGCTCTCACAAGTACTACCTCTCAAATGGGGCAATTTGAGCCAAGGGCAGCGAGCAATCAAAATGTGCCTTCTTGGAGCCAAGAAGAAAGGGCAGCAGTTCTGTTGGTTAGATGCTCAGTTCCTGGGAAGCAGAAATCTGGCTAAATGGCTCAAGGTCACACTACCACCCTCAGCCTCCCCACGTACAGTTGATTATCTCAGCCCCCAGGGGGACGGCATTGCTGGTAGCAGAAACCTCGAAGAGTCTTCCCAGTGAAACGTCCATGCCAACCTTCTATGCTTGCCCCCAGCCTGGGTCCCCATCACAGCCAACCAAACTGCTCTGCTGGAGTGCTTGAAAGTTACAAATTCTAAAAGACTTCTCCCTTGGGCTGACATGACCGAGTCATACAAGGAAGCATAAATGCTTCACAAGGTGGGAAGAGCACAACTTCAGCAGCAGGCCTGGGTTCAAATCCCAGTTCCAGCTGCTGAGGTTCACTGGCTGTGTGGTCCTGAGAGTATAGAGAAATGCTGTTATCCAGTCATCTTCTCCAATGATATTATTCTGATAATTATTACTTCTGATAGAGTTACTTCCGATATTACTTATTACTTCTGATAGAGTTTCTCTTCCTACCAGATTCTCTTGGAGTTTTTCAGTAGACAAACATTGGCCAAGATAATGTCATCTCTTCTTCCCCATATTTACAGAAACTGTTTGATCATAGCTTAGATCATTTGTAAGAACCACCAAAACAATATTTTTAAATGGCAAAAGCAAGCATTTCCAATGTTAACGAAGGCAGATCTAGTGTTTCACTGTTTAGAATGATGTATCTGGCTAATTTTTAGTCTTTACCACATTTAAGTAGTTCCTCTTATTCCTGTTATAGAGTTTTATTATAGGAGAATTCTAGCAACTACCCTTTCAGCATCTACTATAATATGACTCTCCTTTAGTTTGTTGATAAGGTAAATTACGTTGATTTCCTAATATTTCTTATTATTGAACCATTCTTGAATTCCTAGAATGCACTCCATTTGGTCAGAGTATATTGTTTATTTGATATACTGCTGCATTCTGTTTTCTAATATTGCATCTTGAATCTGTGCTAAGACTTGAGCTCGATCTATAATTTTGGGACTATCTTTTATTAGGTTTCAATTTTATGGTCATGTTGATTTCTAAAAATGAATTGAGTTTTGCTGCATGATTTGGACAAGCTATAGCTCTGTGCCTTTTCTTTATCTGAAAATGAGGATAACAGTACTTACCTTGAAGGATGGGTAAAGGGATTATAAATAGCATTTGTAAAGCAGTTCTCTCAATACCCAGCATAATAGATGCTCAGTAAATGGTAAATGAGGGGCAAGGGCTGTCAGCATTTTTTGCTGCATCTTAAGTACTGGACCTTCCTGAAAAGAGGGACTTTGACCCTTGCCTCATATTATAAAGTCTGGCAATTGGTTGGACTTCCTTGATAAGACAAGAGGAGAGTCTGAAATTCAAGTTGGTGACCTAGTGACTATAAATTCAAGGCCCAATGTTTAGCTCCCACTTATAAGTGAGAACATACGGTATTTGATTTTCTATTTCTGCATTAATTCACTTAGGATAATGGTCTCCAGCTGCATCCATATTGCAAAGGACATGATTTTGTTCTTTTTTATGGCTGTGTAATATTCCATGGAATATACTAAACACTGGGTACACACAGACATGAAGATGGAAATGACAGACACTGGGGGCTCCAAAAGAGGGAAGGGAAGGGAAGGAAGGGACAAGGCTGGAAAAACTACCGGTTGGGTACTATGTTCAGAATTTGGGTGACAGGTTTAATAGAAGCCCAAACCTTAGCATTATGTAATATATGCATGTAACAAACCTGAATCTAAAAAAATAAAAAATTAAAATAAATAGGCCTATCATTGGCTACTTATATTCATATATTCTCTCTTCCACTCTCTCATAAATATTGTAAAAAAACAAAATTAAAATAAAATAAAAGAGTACTATGCATCTCAATTCCATGTGACTCAGGAAGCCGGACCCAAAGAGGCCCCTGAGGTGCACTGTGGATCTGCTCGTGGCTTTTTCTATTTAGCTTTTTGGATAATCTGAAGTTAATACACAGCAAATTATGGGGTCATTGCATATAAATCCATTTAGTCGCCAAGCATACTGTTAGTAAGGAATAAATGTTTACTAAAAGTAATGATAATGATATCAGTATTTACACAAAGAGGCCTCAGCCGCCTCTGCAGATCCCCAGTATAAACTCACAGCATTTCACTTGTGCCATTTTGTTATGTCAATCATCACTGTTGCTAATCACACAATTTCAGGATCTTAATGGTCATTCGATCTATCTAGAGAAGTGTTTTATTCCCACCAACTCTAGAAGGCCTGTTCTGGACAACTCCATTGATAGGGAACTCACTACCATTCAGAGCAGGCGTTTCTCCTTTAGACTCCCTGAATTACGGCTATGTCTGCACTGAAGGACCTCTCTTAAGGACAATTTCATATCATTTCATCTTGATATCAACAACTCCACCTCATATGTTGACATATACATACTACACATTAAAACATATTTGTTGAGTGGCTCATGAATGAATACAGAACCACTTTGTGGGAAGGCCAGGAGATGGGGGAAGAGGCAAGCTTGTAGAATCTAATACTTCTACCCACATTAAGCTCAGACTAATTGTTCTTAAAAATCTACAAAACCAAACCTAAGCAAAAATATCCTTCCCCAACATGGTAGAAAGTAATAATGTTTAGAGCAAATCCTTTTGCTAGAACAGAGATTCTCAGACAGTGGTCCCCAGACCAGCACCATCTACACCTCCTGGCAACCTGTTAGAGATGCAAACTCTTGGGCTCCACCCCAGACCGACTGAATCAGAAACTCTGGGGGTGGGGCCCAGTGATCTAGATTTTTAAAAGCCCTCTAGGTGATTCTGATGCACACTAAAGTTTGAGAACACTGGGCTAGAAGGCTGGGTCTATTTAGGCTTGACTCCACCCACCCTACGTCCCCATGCCCTTCTTGATGGATGACCACGGCAGGCAGGGGCAGGACAGGCAGCCTTGAGACCTTCGTTCAGTTATTAACAGAATCAGGACCCAACAGTACATGGAGGTCCCAGAAGCCAGACTTCTTCACGAAGAACCCTCTGGTTTATAGCTCCATTTTTAACCACGTATTTGTACCATGTCATTCTTCCATCACCAGGTCTTCAATTCAAGAAATATTTATTAGTCACCTAATATGTGCCCCACCCTCTGCCACAAGAAGGACAAAAATGAACAAGCCCCAGACCCCTCCATGGAGGAGGTCGCAGTCTAGCAGCGATCTGCATATAAACAAGCCAGAGGGAGGTGGGTTGAATACAGTGAGTCCGTGCCAGGCAAAGAGGGACATCAAAGAGGGGCCAGGAAACTGGCTTGAGCGAGTGTGGTACGGCTTCCCAGAGTAGGAGCCCCTGACATGAGCAGGACTTCAGCAGACAAAGGGGGCCCAAAGCACATGCAGTCATCACCTCTGCAAGCTGCGAGAAGTCTAACCAAGTTGAAGAGGTGGAGCGGTGGGGGTGGATGTGAGGAAGACTAACAGGAGAGGAAGCTGAGCAGGGCTTTATCCCGACGATGGGGCAGCCAGGGGAGGATTCTATCCTGAGGACCAACTTAAGCAGATTGACATGTTAGAAATACTGCTTAAGATTGTAGGGCAGAATACGGATTTGAAGGTGGCGAGGGGCTATTTCAATTGTTTATCTGTGAAACAATGAGGACTTGTGCATGGAGAGGCAAAATGGGGTGGAGAAGGCTTAACGAGAGAACCTGGTGGAAGAGGGAGTGAGTAAGAAAGCAAAGAGGAACCCAGAAAGACTAACATGGCCTTCCTGGCCATGCCCCACCCAGCCCCATCCACCTCTCCAGCCTCTTCTGACACCATATTCTGCCTCCTGTGCGGCCCTCCTGCTTGTTGGCCTTTTCACTTATTATAGATTTCTCTTCCCACCACAGAGTCTTCGCACAAGCTCTTTCCTCTGCCTAGACTGTCCCCATCCCCAATTTGCCTGATTAAGGTCTAATCATCCCTCTGATCTCAGCTCAAAAGTCCTCCCCCAGGGAAGTCTTTCCAATCAAAATTACAACCTTAGTTTTTTGCCTTCCTAGGACTAATCACGTGTCAGTACAGACAATCCACAATTTACAATGGTTTGA